AAAAAAATCCCCCCAACCCCTGAAGCACCTCTCATCCGCCCCCACATCCCCCAACCCCCAACACCCCAGTTATGTGTGTGTAGGTGTGCTATGTATGCGCGTATCTGTGTATGTGTGTGCCTGCTGTGAGAGTGTGTCTGTGCATGAATATGAATGTATGCGTGTGTGCTTGTGTATGTGTGTGTTTGTAAGTGTGTGTGTATGTGTCTGTGCTTGTAAGTGTATGTGTGTGTTTGTAAGTGTGTGTGTGTATGTATATGTGTGTGTTTGTGTACGTGTGTGTTTAAAAGTGTGTGTGTGTATGTGTGTGTTTGTAAGTGTGTGTGTGTGTGTAAGTGTAAGTGTGTCTGTGCCTGCGCGTGAGAGTGTGTCTTGCCTTACTCACAACCTCGTTCCCCAACACACAGATTCCACTTACACCCAAGGACCACCCTACGCCACACCCAGCTTACAGCAGCGCAACTCGGCTATGGCTGCCTGCTCCTTCCTGCTCGCCCGTGAGCGCGTGAGTGGCATGAGCTACAGCGCGGCAGCGCTTACGCAGCATGCAGCCAACACCCGAATGCCCAATGTGGAGGCAGGCCCTTTGCTATATCGAAGTGGCCTGCCTGTGTTCAGTCCCAGGAAGCTTCCAGTAGGCCCCAGTAGCCTGAGGCACAGCAAGAACGAGAACAGGCCTTGGGCCTGAGGTGGTTGCATGCCCCCAACTACCTTTGGCCTGTGTTTGGCCCAGTACCCGTATCCAGCCCAGGGCCTGTTTTCCATACATTCACACAGGCGGCCCAGGACCTGGGTTCCCTCAACCAACGACACGAGACTCATGCAACCTGCTACAGGCCCAATTTTGTGTGTGTGTGTGTCTTTTTTTCCTTTTTTCAATTTGCTTTTTATGGTTTTGATTTTTTTTTAAATACACGAAGTTCCAAAAATATAAGATAAAAAATACATTGTTGTACATCTTTGAAAGATCTACAACCCTATCTTTTTTATTTATTTTTTTTGTTTTCGTTTTAGCCCTTAAAAAATCTGTGTGAAACCCAAAACAAAAACACTCATTTCATTTTCGTTTTTGTTTTTTCATTGTGTGTTTATGTTTTTGATTTTTAAAAAATAGATTTAAGCATCAAAAAATAAAAATAAAAATACAAGGTTGTAGTCCTCAACAAAACCTACAACCCCATATTTTTTTGTGTTTTTTTAGATAATTTTTAGCCCACGAAAAAAATTGTCCCGGACCCCGTTAATTCCCGTCCAACTCGCGTTTGAACGGGAGTTTAACGCGAATTCAAAGCGTGTTGAATTTTTCAACGCGGCGTTGAATTTTTCAACGCGGCGTTGAATTTTTCAACGCGAAACCGCGTTAAATCCACCATCTGTTCAACACCCTAGCAGCCCTCTGGAAGATCGGTAGCAACCCGTGACCTAGTGCCAATTCCGTTCCTAACATGTACCATCCAAGTTCCGGCAAGTACACGGTCCTTGTTACCCTAAGGTCGGTGTACAGATCATCTCCCGGTCCCCTGATAACCCTCATGCCATCCCACAAACATTCCACCATCATGAATGCCTGTCCTCTTCCCAGGGTCACGGCCCTCCATTCGATGTCCAATCCTTGGATCATGTAGCTTGCTGGGAGCGATACCTCCCATCCGCCTCCACTTTCCGTGGGTGGCCGCGGGTGTGTGGACCGTCGCAACATCCGAACACGTCTCATCGCCATTTTTGAATTAGTAGTCCCCTGCACATTTTAAACAGCAAGCGGTTTTACTTATTTCATTTAATCTTCAGCTCCCGCCCGAACACTCCCCAATTTCTAGCTTGAACCTTCCGTTTCTTTCCTTGACCTCTTTTATTGGTCCGTCCCTACATCCATCGGCTCATACAATCGGTACAGATCATCCACGTACACCATCCCTTGACTTATTTCTCGTCGGATGACACCCCACAGAACCTCACTTCCCACGATCGGAGCCCTCGGCCTGGTGCAAAACACAGCACGCAGGATGCGCAACACTTCGTACTTCTACTCTCCACTGAACGGGCCCATTTCTAGGAAGGCCCGATAGTATTCTCGATATACCATCGCATCTTCATATGTCAGGCTTGCGAGGTCGGCTACTGCTCGTCTAACAAGTCCCAGACCGCCCATCCTTTCCAGCAGGAAGGGCGGCAGCCTCATTCGTACATTTTCACTAGGCAATTCAAAACTCCCGACCATGGCCACCCTAAGGTCCGTTGTTACATCGTCAACCCCCGGATCTGCAAATTCAAACCCCGCTCGCCATACTAACTGCCATGCTCCTTCAAACATGCTCAACGGGTCTTCTCCTAATGCCAGCCGAACTCCGAACTCCCTCCACCCATCCTCTGACACATACAGCCGCCCTTCTGCACGTACATGCCCCCGCGGGTCCGAGTTCCATTCCCCATTCTCATTCGCACGCCACTCAACTTTCGTCACCAAGTAGACCATATTTTTCGCAAGCTCGACCCCGACCTAATCTGCCACCTAGTGCCAGCCGTCACTTGTCGCCGACAAGCTAACCTCTACCCCACCCGGTACTTCCCTAGGCGGTTCAATGCCCAAGGGGCGTTCCTCGAGGAACGTCCTTCTTCGCGCCATCACGCACTCGCCTTTGATCTCCTGGCTTGCAATCTGCACTGAACCCTACAATGGCCAGACATCCCATTCCCTTGTCTTAGCAATTTTCCCCCCTATTTGCCTGGCCCCACAACTTTTCAGCGTTTAGTCGAATCACAGTACTTCGAACAGTTTGAACACATCATCCACATAGCAAGGTGTTGCCGCTACCTCACGGCGGATTATGGCCTCCCTAGTTTCCGGGGTCACCTCCTATCGGTCATTCCTTTCGAAATCCAGAATGATAAGGACCTCCCGGGCTATATCGCCATGGAAGGGCCCGTATTTCAAGGACGTCATATAGAATTCCCCCGCCAGCCATGCGCAGTTTACGTGTGTTCGCTCCATTGCGTCGGCTACCTCTGTTACGTGATCAAAACCCCCAAACCAGTCCGCCACGAATTCGGGCACCCAAGTCTTGATTCGGGCGCCAGGCGGTTTAAATTCTTTCCTCCCATCACGACTCTACTGCTGACCGTATCCCATCCTTTGTTAGCAAAACTTTCCCCCGTCTGTCGAGCCATTGCCTCAGCGTCCCCTAAAAGCCACATCGGGTTCTGTCCTGCCGCAAGCGTCGTGCAGAACAGGTGCCAACCTTGTTCAGAGAGAACGATCGTCCTGACTGATTCCACCCTTCCTTCCGCAATCTCTTCCCATCCTTCCTCCTCCCTCAACGGGTTCCAGACACGCTCTATCCATAGGTACGATAGCTCCGATACAATTTCATACCCCCACCAATCACATATGGTCCCTTTCCATTCATTGCTCGACGGTATTGACATCTCTACTCCCCTTCCGACTCGTCTTGGTTCCCAGGTGCAGCCCCACAGCTCGAGTTCCCGGGCCATCGTCCCCTACCTGCACATAGTCGACAACCCGTTCTCCCCAGGTAAGCCCCCCCTCAGAAGTCCCAGTCCTCTATCTCGTCTTCGTCCTCCCCATCACTGAAATCCTCCTCCTCGTCTAGGAACATCTCTTTCACCCCTTCCAAGAAGGTTTCCCCCACCGCCACGTTTCGGTAAACTATCTGCCAATACACCAGACTAGGAACAAAGACTTCGTCCGCGCTGAGGAGGTTTAACACCTCAGCTAATTCTTCCGCCCAGTTTCCTTCAAACGACCCTGCTTCCACCGACAGTTTAAAAAAATTGTGTCTCGCACATTGGTACCAGGGTTGTCGAGCCCCGGCCCCGGGGCCCCGGCGGGGGTCCCGGGGGCCGGGGGTCGGCACCCCTGGCCCCGACAAAAAAAAAAAAAAAAAAAAAAAAAGGGGGGTGCGCAGCCGCAGCCTGCACCCCCTGGGCCAAACTGCGATATTGCAGTTTTGGCCCAACCTCGGCCCCCCCCGGGGCTACACCCCCCCCATGTAGTGCGGGTGCGGGGCCGGGGGCGGGGCCGGGGTTGCCTGGCAGCGGGGGCGGGGGTGCGGGGTCTGGGCAGGGGCGGAGGTACGGGGCTGGGTGTGCGTGGGGTGGTGGGGCCGGGGGAGGGGTTGGGCACTGGGGTGGGCGGGCGCCATAGTTGCAGCGCACCAGTGCGCAGTGCGGAGCGGGGCGGGGCGCAACTGGAATCGCAGAAAAAAAAAACAAAAAAAAAACACAGGTCCAGAATAGACTAGAAATTTGATCCCCATCCAACACTCATCAGACAACTTTACAGAGGGAGGCACAAAAAACAGAACTCAGGCAATCGTCACACACAGGTCGGTCATCTCCTCACCGACCTCTTCCCCGGAAATGGTCTCTCCACTGTTACTATCGGCAGGGCTTTACCCCATACCTCAAGCATAGCTCAACCGTCGCGAGCGCGGTACCCAGGTCTCGGCAAGGCATTCGCCCTTTCCTCCTTACCTAGAATACCCCATCCCGACTTGCCACTCGTGTACCCACCGTTAATCTCGGGAATCACCCCGCACATCTCGGTGAGGCCATTGGAGCCGGTCGTCCAGACATTCACTTCCATCGGTCCGACAAGAATCAACTTTTTCCAGGCCATGCTACGAGAAGCTTTCAATCGCCTCCGAGGCTCCTTCCTTGCCCCGTATGCAGTGGTCCCCCTGCCGCCTGCCGACAAGCAGCCGCCCCGCCTGAAGACGTTTCACACCCCGCCTGGGCAAGGTCATCGAGCCATGCTCGGACCGCTCGGGTGAGAATGCTACTAATCAGCCGACGGGACCAACCCTTGTCTGACAGGCCGGTGGCCCGACCCCCACACACGGAACCCGGTGAACTTCAAAGAGGACGACCATTCCGCATCCCGCACCAGCCGGCGCAAACCAATCCTTTCCTTCCGAAAGGCAGGACGCTCGAATCCCCATCATGCAAACACAAGCCCCAAGTGGGACACACATAACACAAGTGCCTTTCCCCAGGTGCACCCAACGCTTCCTACCCATTGCTCACAGGTTTTCACTCGGGACAATGCGTGCCACTCTCCCCTAACATCCATACACAGTGCCCGGTTCCTTCTCGTGAGCATCTTCAAGGGTGAGCTAGTTTCCTTGGAGTCTAGCAACTCCCTYCATTCCCTTATCTTTGCTTGTRTCTCCGTTCATAGGGCAGGATTGTTCCTTCTCGATTACCCTTTGTGTTCATATGAAGTTCCTTCAARCATTWASTGTGGTGCATGGAGCCCGTTGGGCTCCRAAGAAAARGAAARAGAGCACCCATGTCGGTCGGATCACTCCRCCGYGGGATTTTCATCGRAACYCGGACTAGTCCGGAATCCCAATCGCCTGCCAGGTAACCGGAGCCCTTCTTTCGCACGAAGAGGAAGGGTCGACCTGCGGCTTGCCCAAGGCTTCCCCAGCCTGACGAACATCAGTCCAAGGGAAGGAGGACTAGAGTCATCTCCAAAGGAGATGGTTGATCAAAAGTGCAAGCATGCATGTTCTTCCTCCAGGCCTGGCCTTGCCATGCACCCAACCACCCTCAAATCTGATTCGCTCAAAGGGATAGAGCACACACAAGTCCTCATTCCTTCTCTTCAGTTATGTACGCGGTCATGCGTCGGGCGCCCCCCTCAAAATCGTCAGGGTCAGTTAAACCCATACCCGGCGCCTCCACCATTTTTGTAGGGGCCGTACCCTGAAAGACTTTCGAGCCTTAGTCGACCCCACTGCGGGCCCCACTTGGCTCGACCCGCCCACGATCAAGCTCAGGGTGCGGGTCGTTCGTCCCAGGGGCACCCCCACCTAGTGCTTTGAGATGGATAGGGGTGGACCAGTTGCGAGAGGGCTTTACATTGGGGAATGTAGCTCCGCTCTCGCGTCAAGATGGTAGCTCTTTGACACTCGTGGCATTTTCTCGATTCTGTTAAGTCTGACCAGGCAATTGCTCCTTCCAATACGCAGGCAGTCCAGGGATATCATTGAGAGTTTATCTTCTTACCGTGCGCAGGCCAAGCGTCATCCATTGGGCCACGCACCTTTTCACTAGGTCTAGTGGCTCGGGACAACCCCGACAACATCCTTGGGGTAGGGCGGCGTCGCCCGGACCCCTAACCGCTATATTTTTTTTTGCGAGAGCCACTAGCATCGCATCACCTATCCAAAACCGCCCTTAGTCCTTTCAGGGGTCGCATTGCACATGAGAGAGACATTCCATGCAACCTCCACACAAACCAAGTCCATGCATCAGCCATCCACCCAAGCGCCCGGTCTCAACTCATCCCGCATCCATGGCTTGAGCCGAATCCAAGTCCTTTCCTTAGCCAATCTCCCACCCTAGTCCTCATCCGCGGGTCCAGCCCCGTCCAAACCGTCCCTAGCTACTCACCTGCGCAAGA